AGACTCGGCCCTCTATGCGAGTGGACGGCCAACTGGCAGTGTAGCTCGGACGAATGCCACAGTAACACTAGCCCACAGTCACTCGACGAGTAGGCGTCTACGCGCGATATATCCTCTGACCATCGCGCTCGCGCCGCATCGACTCTCTTTTGCCATTCACTTCTAGTCCTCTTCCGAGCCCCTTCTTCCGTCAAGTCTTCGTTGATCGAAGCAATTCCATTTTTACCAGTAAGCTGTTGACCAGCGCAGTTTTGGGCTATAGCTCATCTTAATATCGCCTCTGTTTGGTCCCCTGTACTTCTGTATTTGGACCCCTACCACCCTCGCCGCACTCCCGCCTACTCGGATTTTCATAGGTATCTTTAGTAATATTAGCACAAGGCGGTGCTCACGTCACCGCAATATACAACATGCCTGAGATGCTGGAGCCTGCAGTATACCATCCTGCGACCTTCGGCCCCATGGCCAACTCTCATCAAGCCATGTCTCCGCTGGATCAGAGACAGGCACTTAATGCCACCGACGACGAGTCCTCAATTCCCACTTACTACTTCGGAGCAAGATATTCCACCTCGTCGATATACCTACCCAGTCCCGCGTCACCAGCCAGTATCGACGACGACTTCCCTACCCCCAAGGCACGCTTATTCGATATGACCCCGCAGCCGTCGCCGCGCTTTCCTGTTCACTCGGCTACATATCCCCCAGTAAACCGGGCGAGTCGTGCTGACAGCGACTTCGACTCCCTCTACGACATCACCGACGATGAGGCTGAGGTACCCCTCCATGCATCCGCATCAGTCAAGAAGCTTGCGACCCAGCCTAGACAGAGACGCTACCCATCCATCGTCATCCCTTCGCCTTCCGCATGGCCAACCATTGAGAAGTTGAAGAGTGCAAACTCGGCGATGCCCGTTACTCCATCGTTGCTACTGACCCCATCGCGTCGCTTCCTTGAGATGATCGACTCTCACAACCTGCATGTGCCTGAGCACTCAGCAGCCCCTTCCCTGGACGGCAGCCTCACATCAGAAGAGATGGATAAGCTCAGTTGCCCTGCCACCCCAGTCTCGCAACGTAGACGCGGATCCATGTCCAGCGTTGACTCGTGGGGACCTGTGCAATTGGACCTACAAGCTATGGAGACTCTTCAGCATCTCGGAAACTCGCCATCTGCTGAGCAGTACGAGGAACCAGAGCAACAGGAGTTTCAAGTGGTTGAGGCTAGAGGCGAGATGCAAGAAGTCTCCCGACCAAGTCTCGGCTTAAGCATTCCTTCAACAGTATTCGGAAACGGTTCCTCTGGTAGCACACCGATTTCCGCGCTCTCTGTCCCTTCTCCCGGTGGTTTCTTCTCATCGCTTCAATCGACTGCTCGTCACACCTGGAGTATCCCCAAGCGCGATGAGTCAATCCCAAACACTTCAACTGCTGAGAGGTTTTACAACCTTCCATGGCAGAAGGAGAACCGAAGGAACACTTCCCCACACCCCGTGCCAGCTGTACCAGCTGTGCCAGTTCTCCCGGTACGAAACTCGACTCTTGCCGGGTCCACTCTCGATGGACACGATGAGCCTCTGGCGACATCGCGCCCAGTCCTCCTTAGCAGCCCAACCGATGAGAACGTGGAGATCAAGGAGATCAACCCTAGCAAGACCATCTTTCAGTATGACGAGAACTACAACGCCGGACTTCAAAAGGTGTCTACTGCTAACCTCGAGATGACTGGCCGATGGTTGGAGGAACAAGATGAGCTACAGGCCGCTCTTCGTGACATGAGCGACATTACCTCTCCCAGCCTCTCCAGCGGAACCCACAGCCGCGGCAACTCGATCGAGAAGACTGTGGTCAAGAAGTCGGTGAAGTTCGCGGATGAGCCGGCCAAGTCTCCAGTCAAGGAGTCGGTGGATGAGCCCGTCACCACCTACGTCCAAGGCCTTGAGTACCTTCACTCTCGGTGCCAAAAGAAGGATACGTTCATCCACCGTCAGACTCGCGCTGAGGCTATGCACGTACAGCGACGCTGCAATCCTCTCGCACATCGCGATCAGCTCCTGGGAAAGTTCGAGCTTTGCCAGCCAGAGCGCCCAGCGCCACCGCGACCAGTGTCTGAGTTCTTCGTCAATGATCCAACTGTACTAAAGGAGAGGATTGCGCGCGCACAGACGGAGCGTCAAGCGCTCGACCAGATGCTGCCCATCCACTGGGTCTTGCAAGCTCAGAAGCAACTCAACGGTGGCAAGCTTCTCAGCAAACCTGCCGCGCGATGCATCACACGCGCTAGTGCTCCACGCATCCTCGACGTTGGTGGTGTCGCTACCAACGATTGGGCGTGGGACGTTGCCTACGACTACCCATACGCTACAGTGACTACTGTCTACACTGCGGGTAACAACATGTCATCTAACGTCAAGGGCCCCGACAACCACAAGCACCTTAGCGTTCCCAACCTGTGGACTCTTCCCTTCCCATCTGGTCACTTTGACGTCGTTTCGGCACGCACACTTTACGAGCTCCTCAAGACAAGCAAGCCTGTCGGCAAGTCATCAGACGAGTACGACCTGTGCTTGAAGGAGTGCTACCGCTGCCTCAAGCCCGGTGGTATTCTTGACTTCAGCCTCATGGATGCCGATGTCGTCCATGCTGGCCGCAACGCTCAGGCCATGGGTGTCGAGTTCGGCTTCAACCTCAAGACCCGCGGCTACGATGCGCAGCCTACCAAGACATTCCTCCCGCGCGTCTCCAAGGCGGGCTTCAAGGACGTTCAAAGGGCGTGGATGCTCCTTCCCATGGGGAAGACGGCAGCGAACTGGAAGGACACACTTGCCGTTGGCGCCGAGCCAAAGCACCAGGAGCGTCGCATCACAGAAGACGGCGAGATTGAGCTCGAGGACGCGCCAGTCTTCGGCACCACCATGGACGCGGCGATGTTGACAGGTGTAGTTGGAAGCTGGGCATGGGAGAGGTGGCTGCTTCGATTGCAAATGGAGATGGGCAAGGACGAGGAGAAGCTATTGGAGGGAGTCGTCAACGTGCTAGAGGAGGGCGCGACAGGCCACGCTGGATGGAGGACTTTGTCCGGCTGGGCGAGGAAGTAATGGCAACGGGATTGAACATGATGTGATACAGTTACGATGGTTTTGGGTAGACGGTGTTGGATAGGCTGGACTGGACTGGACTGGACTGGACTAGGTTGATACCACAATAGCGAATTTCTTTTGTAGATGAATTGAAGACAGTGTCTATCACAGTCGTCCCATTTGGTTGTCTGAGTGTCTGCCTATCAATGTGATGGTGATGGTGGAGTGAGAGACATGGCGAGGCGGCGGATCAGCCTCGCTCGCAGCGGCGCGAACCCCACGCGGCCCATGCGCAGCGCATAACCTCGTCACTGTGCCATGTGCACCGCAAGTCGCGACCACTCGACCCAACTTGCGCTTGGCTGTATCTCCGACGTCTCTACCCCAATCCTTCTTCTCACATATACACAATGCTCTTCTTCAGGTGAGTCCCCGGTCCACGTCGACAATGACGCAACAGCAACTGACAACGCAATAGCTTCTTCAAAACGCTCGTCGAGCACGAAATCACCGTCGAACTCAAGAACGAAGTCCAGATCCGCGGAACACTTAAGAGCGTCGACCAGTATCTGAACATCAAGCTGGACAATGCAGAGGCGGTGGACGAGTTGAGGTGGCCGCATTTGGTGCGTTTGTCCACCGCGACTCTCTTCTGCGTACGGACCAGACAGCGCACCAGAGAGATGGCAACATAAACTATGGGAAGAAATTGAAGCTAACTTTACAATAGTGCTCGACAAAAGACATGTTCATTCGCGGTTCCGTCGTTCGATACGTACACCTTCCTTCCGGCGCTGTCGACACCGCACTACTCGAGGACGCGACAAGGAGAGAGGCTGAGGCGGCGAAGAACAAGGCGAAATGAGAAAGGATGGACATCAGGTGCTAGGATAACGCGTGATGAAGTGACCGTTCGTGCGGCAACATGAGGAGGCAAAGACGCGCGTGGGCGGACGCAATGTGATATGACAACCCACGGTATATAAGAGCGTGGCCAAGCGCAAGAGCTGGAATTCTGGACCGGGAATAAGCGCAGAGCTTGCGCAAGCACGAAGAGCGCTTGCAGAGCTGGTGATGTGAATATACCCTTTGATGAGTACGAGGTGATATCCTCGCCCATCTTTGTTCTTGTCCTACTTTTCTACTCTCTGTCCGACTCGAGTCCTTTACACGCCCTGCTTCAATTCCTCCCTAGTTCACGGGACATGGATGTTGCCTCTTCAGCGTCATATTTGACATGGCCATCGACGTCAACTTGCTTTTCCACACACGTGCGTTCCTCCTTCGTTTTGCCTACCCACAACTATGGCATCAAACTTGCGATCTCTATTGTCGTCCATGTCGCTTCCCCTGTACATTGTTTCCCGTACAGTGTCTATCTCCAACAGACGGATCACTGCTGTGTGTGCGATTCGATATTTTGGTTGTCATCCACTCCATCCACTGGTACCGTGATAACGCAGGGCGACAACGAGCCACTCACGACCCCCGCAATACATCACCATCCCATACACAAAGGTTTTCCTCAAATGAGAGAGATCGCAATTATCCGACCCCAAGAGACGAATCCGCACGTGTCCCCCTCCCTTTCACCTTTTTTTCGTAGCAAACGGAACATGTCGCGTAGAAATTACGCTCGCCCACAGTCCTCCCAACTGGCAGATTGCGCAACTATATGACTCCGTCTATCCCCAAACAACACCAACACCACAACCGCTCTTCCGTTGGTTGACGACGTCCACGCACACACTTTCAAAAGTTTTCAAATCAGTCCCTTCGAAACCACACACCACGCAACGAGTATACTCGCAAAAGCGACGAGTCCACGCACACACTTTCAAAAGTCTTCAGTTCAGTCCCTTCAAAACGACACACCACACAACGAGTATACTCGCAAAAGCGACGACGCCCTCAACAATCATGGCGCCCATCTCCAACCCTTCTTCCACTCCCACAGCCGCCCCAGCGCCTTACCTACACACCCGCTCCGCACTCGAAGCCTTGTCCTCCGAAACCCTCACCCCAACAGCCATCGGCCTCATCTGCGTAGTCGGCACCATCGGCATCACCATCTACATCATCAGCGCCATCATCTATTTCCGCACCAAACCAATCAGCCTGCCCAGACTATTCCGCAAGGGCGCGCACACCGACGAAGAGAGCAATACAGACGGCAAGAAGACAGCCATATCCATCTGGGAGCGAGGTGTACCGCTGTATGATCGAAGTGGTGTTACTACGACGGCAAATTCGGCGTTTGGTGATGCGTATCCTTCTGAGGGTGTTGCGGTGAATGCTGGGCTGGAGAGGGAGATTTTGGAGATTCTGGAGGCGGAGGCGGAGGTTAGGGCTATGTCGAGGGTTGTGGTGAGGTATTGAGGGGGTGGTGAGGGGAGTGTTGGTGATGTGAGTGTGCTGGGTAGTTTTGGGGATGATGGGCACGAGCGTGAAGATGTGAGTGTTGAGGTAGTTGTGTCATGCGTTGGTATTTAATCAACGGGGGTTGGAGTTGTGCTTGGATGTACGTTGCTCGAGTGTTCAAAAGTTTCTGCTCGCTACTTTTTGTACATCTGGTGTCTATCAAATGGGGAATTACGATGAGATGTGAAGAGGCAGACGGGGGAAGTAGCCGGTAACAGGTGCCACACCCAGATATCGTCTACAGCCCTGCCTTCTTGTACACACTCAGAAGATCCATCGTGCCTTTTCCATCCCTCGCTATCTAGGCCCAAGGATCTTCCCGCACAACAACCTCAATAGTCTCTTTCCTACCCCCAAGCATTTCACTCCGCCTTGATTTGAACTTCCGCATCAACCGCTTCCTCAACGACTTCTCATCACGCCTCTCCTTCTTCTCTTGAATAAGCTTCTGCTTCACTGCCTTCACATCCTCATCAGACGAGGAAGAGCTCCAGTGGAGAGTCGGCGCAGTGTTGACACGCCATGCCTGAATGCGCTCTTCGCTTAAGGGTGAGACATTGCGTCTCTTTCGCAGAACGTTCCTGGTATGCGGCTGCGTGGTCTCTAGAGATTGGAACAGTGAGGTCGCTACTGTTGTGGTGAGGACGAGTGTCGCGACGAAGATAAGCGCTGCTTTGGCGACTATGCTCAGGCCGCGCTCGTTGTGTGATGTGAAGAGTGCGGTGAGGAAGCGGGTGATGAGGAGGGAGAGGAGCATGCATGGGAGTATGAGCCATACGGATGGAGGCTGGGGTTGCGACATGGTGGAGAGAAGTGAGGTGTTGGTGTGCAGCAACAAGGCACCTGAATCGAGAGTTGGCGTATGAGAAGGCTCATAAGCTCCAAGGTCACTGCGTTAGTCTTGCGGGTTGGTAGAAATCGGATTGGGCGGGGCTAACGGCGGGAGTGTTTGGCTTCTGGTTCATTCACTTCTTAGTATCGACTACTTTGGTATCTAGGGAATTGAAAACGCTCAAACACTTTTCACATGTTGCTGGTTTCTCTCACACTTCGCTTGAAACTTCTTTTGCAATTAGGCAAGTTAACTAGGTACTTTTCAAATTTCCATCCATCTCATCTGTTCCATCTGTTACTTCGCACCTATTCTGTTCCAAGCCTTCCAGCTTTCTGCTAAGCGCCATACGTGAATTATGACGTCGCTGGATGGAGTAGACGCGCGGTTACCGTTTGCCTCGAAGCCTCCAGGGCTGCCGCAAAAAAGAGGGTGGAGACGTTTGTGACCTCGGTGTAATTGCCATACGATGAACCACAAGTTCACCGATATTATAGCATGGATGAGCCAGTAGAGTATCTCACTTAGAGCTGGTACGAGCATGTTGAGTTTTTTGGGGTTTACCAGGAGTCGCGTGTAAGAAAGCTGGTTTTTAGGGTGGTTGTATATGAAGACTACACTGTGAAATTATTGGTTGTGATTACACCAACGCGGTACTATGGAGCATACAGCGGTTGCCTGTATAATTTATGTTGCTGAGCTGAAGTGAGGGCAGCGGCAAGTGCGTACACACTGCGCCTGCCCACTAACAAAGTCGTCGTCTACTTCTTCGTACCTGGTCAGGACAAGACTCACACCATCCCATCTCTACTCAAAGATTCGTGCCAGCCGCCCAATAGCTACCATCATGGAACTTCACATGCCAATCACGGTCTCAAAATACTCCCTTACTCTCACGGCCTCCATCGCCATCTCGGCCCTCAATTACAGCGGTATCACGAAAGTTCCACGCATTCTCACTCTTCTCGCGAGTCCAGCGGTACTACTTCTCCATGTACTCTACGAATACGCACAACTCCGAGAGTTGCAAAGACAAACAGAGGAGCTGAGGGCAAAGAACAGACGTTACAAAGCGCAGAAGATCGCATTGGATATTGCAATGGAGGAATTATGCGACGGATTTGACGACCTGGATAACGAGGCGAAGATTTTGGCGATCGAAGAGACGATTAAGATGCTGCAGGAATTTGCAGAGAGGACTGGAATATTGGAGGACTAGAAAGGAGGGCGGGCAGTTGGGAAAAATGGTTGGGGGTGGGAAAGGGCGCAGAGACATCACATTATCCATGGAGCAGATTTCTATAATGCCAGTTCAAATCTGTAGACGCTTTGCGTATACTGCATTGATTGCTATCTGCACCTGAAAGTATCACTTGAGGACCAGAGACATATGTGGTACCATGAGCCACGTCATCTCAAGAAATGCATACGCAATCTCAGACTGTTCATAAGACTTCTACACATCTGTGTCTGCCCATAATCCTACTCGCCTCATAACTTCCAAGGCTGCAGATGTGCTCGCGGCTAAATCACCGGGATGTTACTGTGAAAGCAATCATCCTGCGTACCCATTCGGGCATCTTGGCCATCGAAACTTGTTTTCGCCTGGACGGACAGCGAAATCACACCCTCCACCAGCGATGCACCTGTGGTGAGGTCGGAATTGACTTTGTGTACGACATTAGCCTGCAGGAACATGCTATATCCAACACGACGCTAATGATCGACGCAGGGATGGGGTACGCGCCGCATGCATGTGCGGTTTGCATATTGCCGGACAACATCAATATTGTGAACAGCCGAGGCTTTCCTCCTTGGGCGACTACTCATCCCGGTGTCTGTCGGACGGATGATGCCATGTTCGTAGGAATACGGTGTACGGTGTATGGTGCACGGTGTGCGGGTGTGGCGGAGATGATGTCTTGGTGACGCCGATGAAAGAAGAGCCGATATCGTGATATGGCTTTCGTCCAGACAAATCATGGCGGGGAATCTACTCGCAAGTCGAAAGCATCTTCTTCAGCACGCCCATCAGGGTGCCGTTCTCGAGGGCAGCGGCGACGCGCTCCTTGTCGCCCAGCTGCTTGTTGACCTGCTCGTCGGTGCTGTGGGTGCCCTTCTTGATGCGGACATCGACGCGGAAGCGCGGAGGTAGTGCCTGTTCGAGACGGACGCGCACGCCCAGGCCGATGACGGTGGCCAGCGAGCAGTGGGTGATGGTCGGCGTGATCTCGACGACGACGGTGCTGATGCTCGAGAGCGGTGAGGAGGGGGGCAGAATGTGGATGTCTGGCAGGTTGACGACGGACAGCGAGCCGAGGGACAGCGGGTGTTCAGGGTCGCAGATGGTGGAAATGAGGTCTGTCATGCGCGGGGTCAGCCAAACGTTAACGCCATCGAGGGCCCGCGGGCGCGCCTACCGTAGATTTCCTGCTCGTCAATGTCCTCACGTGCGTCGTCGCTGTCTGAGTCGCCGGCTGAGACGCTGTCGTCGAAGGGGTCGCTGAGGTAGTTGTAGCGCGGTATCAGGTTGTCGAACAGGCCGGTCCCGCCGTCATCGCGCCTCTTTGCCGTCGCGTCGCTGCGGCGGGAGGGCAGATCCGAGGGATTCAGGATGGTCGGGTTGGCGTTGTCCTTGTCGAGCTCCATGGCGGCGGTTGGCAGGGGTTGCGGCGTCGTGGTGTGATGGTGGCGGAGGGAAGGAGCCGTCGTGGGCTCCTGCCTCTCCAGCAAATCTGCGAGGAAGGCGCGCCCGGGCCACCAGCAGCCCCTCCTCGGTGTTCGTCATCTAGCATGTGCTAGCCAGCCAGACACTCGGAACATGTCACCCGCCTGCACCTTCACCCTCACCACCACCTCCACCACCGCCGCTGCCCCCGGCCATGCCCGCCGTCTTAGCAATTGCTCTGTAAGCCCTCAATTTCCCGCAGATTATCCGCGACATACAGGGGACACTTGTGTGGGGTGCACCGTTCACACCACAGCACCAGGGCACCCGTGTGTTTGACTAGTGTCTGCAGCTTCGTGTCATTCCATCACGCCGCCGGGGTATACAGTTCGTGGCCTCCTGCCTGCTGCCGTTCTGCTCGGCCAGCCTCGGCAAATCCCCAGTGCGCATCCAGAAGGTGAGAAACAGCGCGGCTGGCGACTGCCCTTGGGCTTCAACCCCATCGGCAGCCGACGCTTCCGGCTGATCCACCACCTGCTCACCTCCCAAGCTCGCGCGCCCATGGTGATCGTGTTGACGACATGTTTCTCACTAATCACTCCCAATGGCAGTCTCGTCCCAACGACCTGTGTCGGCTCCTCCCGCACTTGTGCCTTCATAACGGAAGTGCTGCCTCATCCGGCGTACGACTGACCGCGCTGCTGGATTGTCCCTGCTTTGCTTGCCGTGTTCCTGAGCTGCAGGGAGATCAACGGCAGTGATCAGCGCAGCATGACTGATGAGGTCAGTATCGTGTTATCTTACCACGCGCCACGGAAACCACTGCTTCTATCGACCTTCCAAAGGTCGACGGTAGCCTGGCGCCAGCACCTGTCAGTCATGGCACCATCCCGTCTTGCTCCATACAAAGCACCCCTTGGCAACGCCCGTCGTGTCTCTGCGTGATCGAAGCTAGCACTCGTAACCTGACTGCGCCTTGACTGCCATCGCCATCACCATCATACCACCTGCGTGGTGGGGAACTAATCTTTCAGCTGCCTTGTCGCCTGCCGCGCGAGAGAGAACGCGACCCGGCAACATGGTTGACAGATTACAACAGCCCTTAAAGAAAGGGATTTTCGACCCTAACTTTAGCTCTCCATGCAATCTTCGGTCGTTCTTCATGTCATGCAATCGCCAGTGGCGGACGAAAATACGATCCATGCGCCGGATCGAAGCCCTCGACAAGTCTCCTCAGCTACGTTTCGCTTCGCGGCCGCAATATCTCGTATTCGGCTCATGCAAATGCTATGCCGTCTGTCTGTGCATGCTACCTACATATTCGAGAATCTTGTTAGCCCAACTGAGGGTAGCATCTGGAGTAATATTGTTTCATGCGGGCTACGCTGATGGTGATGCGTCTGCCGTTAGAACCTTGCCTGCACATGGCCCTACCAAGCTTCCGCACGAATCAATTCGCCGATGTGTCGTGCTCAACGACACACACCGGTTCTGCCGTAGCCTTTGCGGCATGCGACGGGATCCCGTCTGCCCAACCCATGCAAAGTCTCGAGTGAACGTCGAGTCTGCGGCCATGGAGATGCCACCGATCAGAGCGGCACATCAACGAGGCCAAAGCGCGGCGTCGAGTAGTGGACGCCTATCCTCATGCTGCCTCCAGCCAAGTCTCTTCCGCAACTATGTGGACAAGACTTGTTTCGCTTTAGCTCCTGGCAGGTCGTGCAGCGTCCTACCAGAGCCATCTGTGTACCCCTATCTAGCCAGCTATAGTCGTACACCTGCTGTATTATATGTCGGCTAAAGCATAATATTCGTCATCGAGGCTAGCAGCCGGAGATCACTTTCTAGAAGGCCCACCTGTCATTGCGGTGACACTGCCAGACCATGTCTCAAACATTCAGGCACCTAAGGCTGTGCGAGATGAGAAACTAGGTACGACTATGAACCGACTAAATGCATGCGCAAGGTTTTCGACATTGTCCAGCCCTATCACGGCCAGGTCCGGGCTGCTGCAGTCTACTGGTCACGTCTGATCTTCTTTTTCTGGGCAATCCAGCAAATGCAGCCGCCACCAGAGCCTCGCAACAGCTTGCGTACTCGGTCCGCTGAAGTTTTTTACTTTGCCTTGAAGTCTGCTGAGTGAGAATGCCGCCATGTACCACCGTCTTCTCAGCTGTCAGACTTTGCCCCCGCTGATTTTATAGCAATCGTTCCCGGCCCATGGCAGTGCTTCGAGGAGGTCCACACTACCCGTCGTTCTACGTGTTACGATTCAGGCCGTCTCCAACGGGCACCACAATCCCTGCTGCCCATTGCCTCACACCCCCACAGCACGGCAGTTCCCTGTGCCCGCAGCATCTTGGTAGCGGACGCTTGCGCTCACGCGCGTGCAGCTTGGGCGCCCATACCAAAGGCGCTACTTGTGCAGCAGTGCGGCTCCTGGATCCTGCACGCTTAAGTCGCATATCGTCTACCCCTCGCCCGCCTATCGACCCCTTCATACACGGCCAACCGCCTAGGACCACAATACTCTCGCTTTTCAGGAGATCCATACACTGCGACGCCACTATTGTGCGCGTGAGCCACGCTGCGAGCCCGCTGCCAGTGCGTCTTCGAAACCCCGGTATGCCAGACATCGTCTCCACCTACCATCCCTATGCGCCTTCTGCCCTGATCTGCCGTATAACCTAACGACGCCGCGGCGTCGCGGAGATTTCCCTTGCGCTATAGCATTCTACAGTGCATCTATTCTCGATTTCGCTTTCTTTGTGTATAGTTTTGGCCATTCCGCGATTTCTTCCGTCCGCCGACCCTCAGGACATTCTGGACCGTCATCGCGCGCCGCTACCATTGGCTGCACACCGACCACCGCACACAACCTCATCGACTTAGTGGATAGCCGACAACCCCGCTGCTTGCAACCATTGCGCAAGGCCTTGCGCTGTCACTCCGGACCGGCTCGTGGTAGCTATTAACGTTATGCCCCCGGAGACCACTGGACGGCCACTGCTGCCACAAACGGCGCAAATGCAGAGCTTCACCTTTGCGCCGCCCACGCTGGCACCGCGCGAAAACCAGCGCAGTGAGTCCACACGCCGCTCAGCGTCTTGGGGACAAGGCAGCTGACAACATCTCCAGATTATGTATTCGTAGACGAACACAATAGACACAAACGACTGAAAGGTATGAAGGCACATTTTGACTTGACATGCAGATGCTAATGCAGAGCAGTAATGAGAGCATGCGAAGGATGTCGTAGACGCAAAATCAAGTGCGACGCGGCAACAACGAATGCATGGCCCTGTGCTGCTTGCATTCGTCTGAAGCTTAACTGTGTGCCGCCTACAGTCAGCTATGACAAGGACTACAACGGTTCGCAAACCTTTGACCTGGAGCCCAAACCGCTCGAGTATGCCCCGGACCCATCTCCTCAACATGACTATCAGCGCCATCCATCCATGTCGCAGGCCATGTCTCACCAAATGCCGCCTTCCATGCCGACTACCCAAGGCATGTACCAACCTTCGCCCTACGTGGATCAACAGTCTCAG